GCAGAGGGACTGTGTGTGTTCAGGGCAAGCTCTGTGTGTGTTCGGTATTTGTGTGCTTATGCGTGGTGAACCCTGCCCCCTGCTGGTGTGAGCACTGGGGGGCCCAGGGAAGACCTGGGAGTGCTGCGAATTCAGCACCATTCTAAAGATAAATCTATTTTACTTTAGACTTGGGAGCAGATAATTCTGGTCTCGAATAAATGCTCATAATAATTCCTAAGAAACATTCCCTTCTCTGGCCAGGCCGGAATTGCCGTGCGTGGTTGCATGCTGGGTGTGTGGAGTTAACCTGTGTGCGGAAAGGTCACACTGGGTCCCTGTGCAGATGGGGGGCTGTGCGTCCGCGTGGAGGTTTCACCGCCAGCGGCGAAGCTGTGGGTCCACGGTGGGGCTCTGTAGTTTTGAAAGTGGGTGGGTGCCGAGGCTCTGCGCCCGGGCTGCCCCATGCTCACTCCCCCCTTGGTGCCGCAGGTAAAGGCCCCGAGACACTCTTTGCGGGGCACAAGCTCAATGACAACGAGTGGCACACGGTGAGAGTGGTGAGGCGTGGCAAGAGCCTGCAGCTGTCCGTGGACAACGTGACCGTGGAGGGTGAGTGGTCTGGGGCCAGGGAGATGGGTGACCGCTGCCTAGGGCAGCAATCCATCAAACCGCCGCTGCCATTTCTCCCTCAGGGGTGATATACTGTGAGGGCCTGGACCCCAGGGTCCATTTCAACGCCCTCCAGGCAGCATGTCCCTGGAAGCCTGTCATCCGAGGAGTAATGAGTCCCACCACTCCTCCAGGGCCCATGAGCTGTGCTTTCTGCCAGCAGCTACCAGAGGGCGTTTGCTGATGTCTCTCCCATGTGGCCCTTGTGTGGAGGGAAGGCTCCTGGGGACCCAAGGCCCGGCCCCAGGAATGTTCCAACAGCCTGTGCCCCAAAGCCACCCCCCTGATCTCTGTCTCCCGTCCCGAGCAGGACAGATGGCAGGAGCCCATACGCGGCTAGAGTTCCACAACATTGAGACGGGCATCATGACAGAGCGACGTTTCATCTCCGTGGTGCCCTCCAACTTCATCGGGCACCTGAGCGGGCTGGTGTTCAATGGCCAGCCCTACATGGACCAGTGCAAGGATGGCGACATCACCTATTGCGAGCTCAATGCTCGCTTTGGCCTGCGTGCCATCGTGGCCGATCCCGTCACCTTCAAGAGTCGGAGCAGCTACCTGGCGCTTGCCACACTGCAAGCCTACGCCTCCATGCACCTCTTCTTCCAGTTCAAGACCACAGCCCCCGATGGGCTCCTCCTGTTCAACTCAGGCAACGGCAATGACTTCATTGTCATCGAACTGGTCAAAGGGTGAGGTTGGGGGCTCTGCACTTCTGTCAAGGAAGTGGTCCCCTCTCCCTGCTGGCCAAGATACGGGCCCCCAGCCACTGGCTGAGATGTCTCATTTCCCCAAGCTACAGGTCAAGATTCAGGTCCCCAGCCGCCAGCCGAGATGGCAAAGTAGCGTCCCCTCCTTCTACCCCGGTGACTCCTCAGTGATTCCTCAGGGATTTTCCAGTTGTATCTGTTCTCTGGTCACTGTCCTGGCCCAAGCCCTCTAGCCCCCTCTATGGGCAGAAGACAGGGTTGCGTCCCTGTGCCTTCTTGCCTGAGAGGACCCCATCCTAGAACAGCTCTGTCCCTGACACCAGGGGATCCTGCTGCCCCCAGAAACCGTTTCACCAGCTCCTCCTCTGAGCCTGTCACGGGGGCCATCTCCTCTGCGGCTCTCCCTTCCCTCATTCTCCCCATGACCAGAGTCCTTGTGCCGTGGGTTTGGGTCCCTCCACTATGGGGTCTCCCTGTGTACCCCTTCCTCCGGTGGCGCCTAAGGACCCCGCCAGCTGTAGCTCCTCCCTCCCCTTCTTCTCAGTGCGGCCCCCACTGTGACCCAGTGTCTCCTCCCTGCTGTGGGGCAGGTACATCCACTACGTGTTTGACCTGGGGAATGGCCCGTCCTTGATGAAGGGGAACTCAGACAAACCAGTCAATGACAACCAGTGGCACAACGTGGTGGTGTCCAGGGACCCGGGCAACGTGCACACGCTCAAGATCGACTCCCGCACCGTCACTCAGCACTCCAACGGCGCCCGAAACCTCGACCTCAAAGGTGGGGCCTGGGGCCCCCGGAGAAGGCCTGGCCCTAGCCCAGCTAGCCCCCGCCCCCGCCCCAGCGAGACCACCCGCCCTGGGTGCCCTCCTGCTCAGGTGCTCCTCCGTCCTCCCCTGCCCATGGTGTCCACCCGTCTCCCCCTCTCCACTGTGTCCGGCCTGCCACTCTCCTGCCGGAGATCTGCTCAGCTCTCAGTCCCGAAGGTCAGGTCACAGGATGAGTCTGTCTCGTAGGGAGCTTGACGGCCTTCTCTAGAGCTAGGAGTAGGTAGCCCAGGCCTTCCAGAGACCTCTTGGTCCTCCGAGGTAGAGAAGCCTACCTGGGCTGAGGGCTGGAGAGAGAAGGGGGAGCTTAGCATCCTGGCAGATGCCTCTTCTCGATGCGAGGAGGAGGGAGTAGCAGTTGCTGGTCCCTGCCTGCTGCCCTGGTCAGGTACCTTGGGCATTGGCTGGGCTAGCTCTGGGGACTCTTGGCCCAGGCTTCCATGGTGGGCTCAGCATTACACCAGGGTCCTGCATTCCCCAGGGTCTCTTTGCTTGCCCCCAGAAGGGGCGGTCGAGAGAGCAGGAAAGAGGAGAATGAGCCCAGACACTGGGGTGTTGGAACAGGAGTGAGGGCAAGGCCTGTCACTTCTCCAGAGCTCACTGGGGCAGCGTTGGCCACTTCCTGCACATGCCCAAAGCCGCCCTCAGCTCCACAGGGACTGCTGGGTGTCCGTGTGACTCAGGCTGTCCGAGCTTAAGGAGGATCCTCAGAGGCCATTGAATTCATTCCCCTCTCGGAGAGGCGGGAACAGAAGCTTCCCAAAGCTAGATGGCTTGCCTGAGGTCACAAAGTGAGCAGGCAGCAGAGCTGAAACTGGAAGCTTGGTCAAATCCTGAGCCAGATCAGCGGCATAGCACTGCCAATTCCCCCTGCTCCCAGAAGGGGGCGATGTGTCACAGATAACTCACAGTGGCAGCAAACTCCGGGGTGATCTGGGCCTGTCATGTGTTGCACTGAGCCCATGGCCAGGGCGCCAGGGTTGGTCTGTGTCTTGCTGAAGCTCTACCATGGGCTGGTCAAGGCTTCAAGGAGTTAGGCCAGACAGCGATGTAGGGATAAGGTGCCCCTGAGGAGAACTTTCCAGTGTCCCCCAGAGTTGCCAGGCCAAGCCTTGGTTGTTGTGGGGTAGGGGGGGGCAGGGAGGAAGGAACTGGTCTTAGAACGGCCCCCAGGAGAGAACTCAGAGCAGGGAGAGGCTGGGAGAGGCAGAAGGAGGTCTGGGAGCGGGAGACTTCTGAAGAGGGGACTGGGGGCGGAGGGAATCGGGCTGAGCATCTCTGAAAGGCCCTGATTGCAGGCCGGAACTGGAGTCAGATGTGTGGGAGAGTGGAGCAGCTTCCTCCAGCTGCTCCTCAGGCCCCCCACCCCCTGCATCTGGGCTTCTCTGGGAGGGGAGCAGACAGATGGCAACGTGGAGAAGGAAGAAAGAGGCGGGGGGCAGGGATATGCGAGGCGCTGGGTCTCGGTAAGGAAACTGGAGTCTGAGACAGGACACTGCGTGGCCAGGAGGGTCCGACAGCTACATGAGAAGTCCTGGGAGGGGCAGGGGGACCGGGAAGCCTGGGTGTTGACCCCGCCCCCTTTGCAGGGGAGCTGTACATTGGCGGTCTGAGCAAGAACATGTTCAGCAACCTGCCCAAGCTGGTGGCCTCCCGAGACGGCTTCCAGGGCTGCCTGGCCTCGGTGGACCTCAACGGGCGCCTCCCAGACCTCATCGCCGACGCCCTGCACCGCATCGGGCAGGTGGAGAGGGGCTGTGACGGTGAGTTTAGGGTGGAGGAGTTCCGTGTGACAGTGCAGGCTGCAGGACGGCCGGCTGCAGAGGCAAGCCGGGGCGGCGAAGAGGCTTTTTCCTCAGGCCTTGCACGAGCCTGCCCCCCAGCTCTGGGGCAGGGGTACAGGCGGCGAAGGATCCCTTGCTCTCTCCGTTGCCTCCCACCCTGGCCCTTTATCATCGTTCAAGGCCAAGCCCCGCAGTCCTTGAGCCCACCCCCACCCCACCCTCGCCTTCCAGCCTAGCAGAACTGAGGGCAGCGCCTCTCAGCCTGGCCCTGAAGCTTCCGTACCTCCTGGGAGGGAAGGGGCTGGGCTGAACTGGGGGTGTTCCTTCCTCCTGCCCTTCCAGGCCCCAGTACCACCTGCACCGAAGAGTCTTGTGCCAACCAGGGCGTCTGCTTGCAGCAGTGGGATGGCTTCACCTGTGACTGCACCATGACTTCCTATGGAGGCCCTGTCTGCAATGACCGTGAGTGCCTGGGGGGTCGGGGGTGCTAGTGGGGGGGATCCTGGCCCACTCCCAGCCTCGCAGACTGCTGTGGAGGAGGGAGGGTCGCTGAGAGCCTCGATGCCTGCTTCCTTCTCGTTCCTTCTTGTCATGCGAGCCCAAAGGGAGCTGCTGGCTACTGTCCCTTCTCAGGCTCTTTCCTCTCAGGCCTGTGCAGGACCATTGCCGCCTGAATCCTTGGGGCGACCTGTTGGTAGATGGCCTCTCTCCTTCATTTCGAGTTGGTGGGACACTGCTCCCTTCACCCGTAACCAAAGGTGTCAGCCTCCGCTGTCCTCCCCGTGCGATTTTGGTCGTGGTCTCGTGCGTTGTACTTGCAGGGCACACATGCTCACTACCGCACAGGGTGGGAGGTGGCCCAGTGTCCCCGTACCCCCTTTCCTCTGAATTGTGCAGTGGAAGACTGTTCTCTCCTGCCCAGAGAGGCCCATGCCCCAGAGGCCAGGCTCAAGAGATTCCCAGGAGGCCAGGCCGCTGGACAGCTGGCTTTCCTGGACACCGGCTGTGCAGTCTCCTTTTTTCCACCCTCACGAGACCCCCAGCTGCAGGTTGTCCCTTGGAGCCACAAGGACACTCCCTAGTGTCCTCACCTGCTTCTTCTCCTCCCTGGTTGGGCATCTGCCTGCCACCTTGCATATTGCTTGTGCCCCGCCCCCACCGCCAGAGGGCAGCTTCAGCAGCAGTTTCCAGTCCCTAGAGGTTGGTGGCCAGCAGCTGGTTGGAGCTTGGCAGAGGGAGGGAAGCTGGGGCAGGAAGGGGGGGAAGGGCAACTTCCTGTTTGAGGGGGTTTTTAGAGTTCCCCTTGGATGATCCAGCTGGGGACAGTGGCTGGGAGAGTGTGGCCCCCTCAGGCATCACTTAAACGGGCGTCCCTAGGTAGCCCTGCCGAGAGACCAGGGATGTGACCACTCAGCTGCCTGGGGAAATGCGCATGCACGCACACACACACACACGCATGCACGCACATGCACGCGCATACACACATGCGCACACTCTCATACACACACATACACACACGCACATGCACACTCACACACACACATGCAGGCACGCACGCACACACACATACACGCACGCGCAGGAGGACAGGACTTCTCCATTTTACCGACATGGAAACTGAGGCCTGGAGGAGTCGGCGGGTTTCCAGGGAAAGTGAATAGTAGATCTGGGCTAGGAACTGGCCAGTACTTTTGCCTCCGTGCCACATGGCGGGGCCTTAGTCGCCAGGGGGGGCCCTGAGATCCTTACAGGATAAACCTGCTGGTTCCAGAACGGACTAGTCTGGAATGGGCTCCTGGGCAGGTCGCGGTTTTTCCTTCTCTGTCGGAAAAGTGTCCTGCCCAGCTCCCTCTGTGCTTTCCCGGTGCTCCCAGGCAGGGCCTTCCCTTGGGTACCTCCACATCCTCAGCCTGCCCCCCAGGATTTTCCTCATCCGACCTGCCGCTCTTGGTACCTTCCGGAGCCCCCAGACAATGGTCACCTCAGGGGGACCCCGGCCCTGGCTGCTGGGAATAAAGCGGGGCTGGGCTGGGTGGTACCCCGATCTGAAGATGGCGAGACCTTCGCTGCTCACTAGGAACGATCTCCATTGACGGTTTAGTGTTTTGCAGTTTGCAAAACCCTTTTAATTTGTTCCTCAGAGAAGACAGTGGGACAGAAACCAGCGAGGAAGCAGGGCGCAGTGAGGCGGCTCCTGCTCTGAGTCAGGGTGCTGGCGGTGGCGCACAGCTGGACCCAAGGCGCTCCTGACCCTTTGTTACTTGCTGCAGCTCGTTTAGTCTCGGGGCGGTGGCGGTGCCTGTGGTGGTGCCGATGGCCGGCCGTGCTTGCTGGGGGCACAGAGGATCAGGATCATGAAGTGCTGCTGCCCATTGTCACTACTGTACTCCCACATGGTAGAACCTTCTGGAAGGGGGCATAGAGATGAATGGGAAGTGTAGGGAGTCACGCCATCTTTCAGCAGAGATGGGAGGACAAGTTCCAGGCAGGTGGGAGGCAGGAAGAGTTGGGGTGGGGGGGGTGGGCAGGGCACATCTCAGGGAAGTGTCACTACACAGGAACCCTGGTCTACGGTCTGGCGGCAGAGCCGTGGACATAAAGACAAGGTGGGTGCAACCTGGGAGCCACTGCACGCTGGCCCTGGGGTGCCTCTGGGACCTGCCCCCGGAGGGCAGGGCAGGAACCTGGGGGTCAGGCCTTCGCCACTGCCCCCTCTTCTGTTGGGGTTGCGTCTCCTCACTATTCTCCATGCTTGGACTGTTTCCTGTTCCTGCCTTCCCTCTGTGGCCTGTCTTCTCGGGGACCGCCGAGGTGTGTGACCAAGCGGGAAAGTGAGGAAACTGTTCGGTTGGTCCCGCCCCTGAGCGCGCAGGTCCTGGGGGCGCCACTGCGCACCTGAAAGGCTCTTCGCCTGAGGAGAGGGAGGGGGCTGGGTATGGCCGGGGCAGAGGCAGCCGGACCCTGTCCTCGGAGGGTTGGGTTGGGGTGTAGAGCTGTCTGGGGTGGAGGGAGACTGAGATGAAGAGAGGTCCAAGCCTTTCCCCACTTGCGGCCTCAGTTTCTCCGTCTGTGACACAGGGACTACATCTGAGGTGGGGGCGGAGGGATCTCTGTTTTCCTTTAAGGGTAAAGAGTCTGCTCTGGAAAAGTAGGAGAGACATCAAAGGGAAAGAACCCATCTCTTCCATGAGAGAGAGGAAAGAAGAGAAGGTGAAAAAGAATATGAAATGAGAGGAAGGAATTAAAAGGAGGGACACTTCCTGACGTGCGGCTGAAACCCCAGGGCCGAGGTTCAGGACCAGGGTGCGCCCCTTGGCTCCGGTTGCTGCTCTGTCTTTCAGGCAGTCAGTTCTTCACCTTCTCTCCGTCTCTGCGCCCCCCACCCCTTTCTCATCTCTCCACTCGCTCTGCTCATCTCCACAGCCTCTATTGATCCCTCGCATGCCTCGGTCTCTCCCTTCTTTTTTACCCTCTGTCTCCCCCCTCGCTCCCCAGCGTCATCCCCTCCAACTCTCCACTTCCCACTCACTGATATTGATTGGCCTCTAGGCGGTTTCTCTTCCTCTCCTCTAGCTACCAGCTCCTCCCTCCCTCCCTCTGGGACCATAAATTTTCTGCCTGCTCAGAGCTGTGTCGGTCTATATTTCAGAGCCAGGGGCATAAGCACGGGATGGAGAGGGCAGAAGGACAAGTCTATGGAGGCCGCAGCCCTGTTCCCTAGCCCGCGTGCAGTCTATCCCCCCTCCTGGGGCCATGCGCCACCTCAGAGGCCCCTCTTGGGTGCCTGAGGACCCTATTCTCCACTTCTGAAGGGCCAGGAGCCAAAAGGGGCCCTGGCATCTAGCAAAGGTAGCCACAGCTATGGAGGAGGAACTGTCCTGGGTCCTGACTGTATCCAGGAGCTAGGCGCAGTACGTGTGTGCAGCTCCTGGTGATAGCTTTTGCTCCAAAATGGAATTCAGGATCAATAAGCAGGAGCCAGCACCCACTCCCTCCGCTTTCTCGCTTCACCTCCCCTTCCCTTTGCTCCTTCTCCACACCCCTCCTCACTCCTACACTATTTCTTTGACTCCTTCCTTCCTCCTTCTCTACTCGCCCCACCCCTACCCCATTCTAGCAGAGAGAGCACTGTCTGGCCAGGCCAAGGTTGATATGGGCGTGGAGGTGGCACCCCGATAAAGGGAAGGGAGCCCCTCTGCACTTACCTCTTGGGCTATGACACGTGCTTCCCAGAGATCCCCAAAAGTCTGGGGCGGGGAGGAGCCTAGAAGAAGTAGCTTCCTCAGTGGAACATAAGTGGCCCAGGAGGGGTTTTGTCCCAAGTGGGACATTCAGTGGACAGGTGTCCTGGAAACTTCCTGTGGAGGGAGAGATTGAGGCTGGGGGCGGTATAGGGGAAAGTGGAGAGGAAAGATTGGAGGAGTCCAGGAGGGGTGTGCAGGTGGTAGGGGAGTACCCTTTTGGGGAGGTGGTGAGGGAACTCTGTGTGTGTGTGTGTGTGTGTGTGTGTGTGAGAGAGAGAGAGAGGGAGAGAGAGAGATGTGTCTTACTCTTGAGTACCTTTGGGACTCTGAGTGTATTATATGCATTTGGGTGACCCTGTTTTTGGAGGATGAGCTGAGCCGGGGCCAGGTGTTTGTCTATTTGGCCATTCCTTGCCTGCGTCCAAACACGTATGTGTGTGCGTGTATGCCTCTGTGAGCATGTGTACACGCTCGGCCAAGTGTGAGTTCATGTGCCAGCCTCTACGAGCACACGTATGCATGTATGTGTCTGAGCCTGGGTGTATATGCGCGCGCACACTGGTGCCTGTATGGGCACGTGGGTGTCTCCATCCCCAAGCCTGTCCACATCCTAGTGTGCACGTGTGTTCCGAGGCGTGCGTGCAGGGGTGGCGGTAGCCACATCTCTGCGCGCTGGACCAGTGAGCACTATTGGGGTTCGTCCAGGTGCTGGGGGAGGGGAGGAGGAGGAAGAGATCGGCCTCTCTCGCTAGCCTCGGTCCTGTTCAATTATTCAGCAGGGCCCCTTCTCCGGAGGGGGCGGGAGGCGAGCGCGCGC